ATAAAGGCAGAATAGAGAAACTGTAGTAAATTTTATTGGTTGAGCTTTATGGTTGTGATAATTTATTCGATTGGTGATGATTGTGGTTGTTAAGGAAATTAAGGGAAATGAGGGAATTTGGTGGTTAAGGCTTTAAAAAAAAGGGTATTTTTGTGGTCGTTTTATATCTTCTGTTAGTTTGGTTTAATGTGTTTTTTATATGTTTTCTTGTTTGTTTGTTTTTTGTTAATTTGTTTAGTGTGTGTTTTTTATATTTATTGGCCTCTTGAGGTGTTTGTTTCAACACAATTTACTCTTCGTTATTTCTGTTTGTTGTTACAGTATATGTTGCATGTTATTTGCTGATATGTGTGTTGTTCCCGTTGTCTCTGTAGGATTTCAATATAGCTCCAGTATGTAGTGATTTTGCGTGTTATGTAAGTGTGTTTATATACTATTACTGATGGGATTTTTCGTAAAAAAACAGCAAAGACAATAATAATGAGTGTAATGATGATGTTAATGGTGAATAAAAAAAATAATGGTAATAGTGACAATAATAATAGTAATAATAATAATAATAATAATAACAAAATCAACAGCAACAATATTCATTACTGTTATTATAATTATTATTATCGTTATCATTATTATCATTGTCATCATTATCAATGTCATTGTCATTATCATTATTATATCATTGCCATTGTCATCGTCATTATCATTATCATTATCATCATCATCATCATCATCATCATCATCATTATCATTATCATCATTATTATCTTAATTATCAATATAACCACCATATATATCACAACCACAATCTTCATGAAAACAAAAACAACAACAAAAACATCGCCACGTATCCCTCACCATGAGTCGCTCTATGGGTCCAGTAGTAAACAAAATCCACCCCTATGGCCGCCACCCACCAGGTTACGGGGGAAGACCAATCTAAGTCAATAAGGCGATATTCGTAGAGCCAAGAGTAACCCCACAGTTCGAAGCCACGAGTGAGGAGCCTGTGGGAAAAATGGCCTCTCTGGTTTAATTGTTTTTAGTTGTTTTTAATTGTTTTCTTTACTTGTCTTTGCTTGTTTGTTTTTTATTTGTGTTTTATTTGTTTCTATGTTTATTTATCTATCTGTTTATCTACCATTCTTTTTTTTTTGGGCTTTTTTCAGCTTGTCTAGCTACCTTTCTTTCTATCTATTTATCTCTCTTTCTCTTTCTCTCTCTCTCTTCTTTCTTTCTCTCTCTATCTACATTTCTTTTCTCTTTCTATTTTCTTTCTTGCTATCGATCTATCTATCTATCCATCCATTCATCTGTCTATCTACTTATTTATCTATATCTCTTTCTCTCAATCTACCTATCTTTGTCTATTTATCTAACTGTATATTTATCTCTCTCTTTGTTCCATGTTTTGTATCATTCTCATTATGTTTATTAATTAATCAATTTATTTATTCATCTACTTCATTCATTTTATTTGTCTATTTTCTCTTCTTTTCTCTTCTCTTCTTTTCTTTCTTTTTATTCACATAATCTATCTATCTAATCTATTTACATAATCTATGTACTTTTTTTTTGCAGTATTATCGTTACACCCGTTATCTGTTTAACATAAAAAAAAATCTTTAAGAATTATGGAAAAAATGTTTAATACGTTTACTAAAGGTCAATAAATTAAATAAAAATTCTAAATAACGAAAAACATCGAAATTTCGTCTTGATTTTTCCCCTTCGTGTGATCTTGAAGAAAAAAAAATGCGCAAAAATATTAATGGTTTCCTTGGAAAATTATGTATTTTACATAAGACATACTGGTAAATATTTTGATAATAAAAGTCATTAACAAACTTCTTTTTTTCTAATTTGAGCAAATATTATTACATCATCGTAATATCAAATCTCATTTCCGTTACTAGAAATACCTCTATTTATATAATATAAAACACATACAAAAAATGTTATAAACATCGCAAAAATAAAACGTCTTTATATCGTATAAACATTTCCTCGGTGTGTTTGTATCTTCTCAAAATATGCTATAAATCTCCCACTTTTTAAAAAAAAATCAACCGAAAGACCACCACCACCACCACCACCACCACCAACAACAACAACAACAACAACAACAACAACAACAACAACAACAACAACAACAACAACAACAACAACAACAGTAACAAGATAAAAAGATAAAAATAACAACCAACAGCAATAACAACAACAACAAAAATAACAAGATAAAAAAGATAAAAATAACAACCAACAACAACAATAATAGCAATATAAAAAAACAAAAACATTTTCACCCACTTGCAAGCTTCGTAGACGAGGCCATGACCCAGAGAGGTGATTCCGTCACTGAACCTCGCCGTCTGCTTCCCCGTCGCTAGTCCCAAGAGAAATTCAAGGACGAGGAAAGATATGAACACCGGAACAGCCTGAAGGAAAAAGGGGGGTGGGGGGTTGGGTTTATTTGCTATGGAGTGGTTTATTTGTTTTTGGG